GGTGGGGTGACTGGCCAGAGCCTGCAGGACCTAGAACCCAAGAAGCAGGATTAATGTTAAGGGTTTAAGTCAACGTTTCCCAATCCGGTCCTCAGGGACCCACAGACAGTCCATGTAAAAATGAGGACCGTCTGTCAGGGAGCTCGGAGGGAGCAAAAACATGGACTGACTGTGGGTCCCTGAGGACCGGATTGGGAAACGTTGACTTAAACCCTTAACATTAATCCTGTTTCTTGGGTTCTAGGTCCTGCAGGCTCTGGCCAGTCACCCCACCCAGTCCATACTGATTATTGCTCATAGGCTGAAGACAGTGCAGAGGGCGGATCAGATCTTTCTGATTGATCATGGGGTTGTTGTAGAGAGGGGCACTCATCTGGAGCTGATGGGCAAGAAAGGAAAGTACTACAGACTTCAGGAGAAGGTCTTCATGGAGGAAAGTCCTGGCTAACGCAGGCATATGTTAGTGACAAATGTAGCAAAGATACAGATGAATGTTTTATTAATGTATCAGCTTATATTTATGGATAAATTGTAAACCCCAATGTCATCGATAGCTGTGTGTCTGTTTACTTTATAATGACATCTGAAATGCTGAATAGTTTATGCACCCATACTGAAAGCGGGTCTTTGTGACGTAACGACAGAAGATAAATCGTGTCAGACATTTTTCTATGTGAGATGTGACCTTGCAACCAAAAAAACTGAAAAGAAAAATAGAGAATCATTAGGACAAAAATCTGCAATTTCAGTAGGGGTGTGTATGCATTTTATATCCTATGTGTCGGTGCTGAATGTGGCTGTGACCTCATACCTCAGACCAAACGCTCTGTGATCCTCAATGTGATGAGCGGATGGATGGATGGATGGATGGAAAGAAGGAAGCTGAAAATTGCCAGAAAACATTTTTGATCATTTCTGTGGGAAACACACCTTTGCTTTATTGGGTTGTGATTGTTGTTCTCACACAAACATGCAAAAATGTAAATTGTACCATATCAGTTATCAAAATAGCCCCGTCATAAAATATCCTCTTATATTCATTTTGACTGAGATACGACCCAACATGTGCTAAGAGCAAAAAGGTGAACAGTTTGCTTAATTTTGTCCGGAATGAACAGTCTGATGAAGGGATATGTTTGGTACTTACCATACCGTCCCTCCTGGGGAAAACCCCACACGTTTGTTTGCTCGTGCCGCAGATTACAGCATGACTCCATCCCCCCCTGCAGGAGATCCTCACTACAGGGCGTCAGCCGGAGTGAGAGACGGCAACCATTTTGTCACCAAGCCTTTATTCCCACAGCGTCCACAAGATGCCGGCCGGCAAGCCACGGCACCGAAACTAAAGAGTTTATGGAATATTAGAAATGTAAAATATTAGAATTTTTCTTTGGTTTGCAGGAATGTGTTTACACATGACAGTTAAAAATGCTTCAGATGAAAAAATAATTCTGATGAATCTATTTAACAAAATCTGTAATAAACTATTTTATTTTAAAACACTCAAAAGCATTCTTCAGATTCAATTGTCATTTCTTCACCATATTCAATTGTCATGTCCTTTAAAACATGCAGGCTGCATTGTGTTTGAAAACACAGAGTTAAATGATTGTGGCTGTTTGTGTGTGTTTACTGAAGCCCTGGCAGGTAGCGATGATCGGTCAGGACGCTGTGCTCTTTTCTGGCATTAACCAGATATTTACGAAACCTTCCCATCACCAAAAGTCCCGATTCAGGGGTTGAAGGTTCATTTTACAGCCCGGCGCTGGGTATTCACCGTGTTTATACATGTAAAGTTCCTGGCTGTGGTCTGCAGGGGCGTTGTCACCCTGTGGGTGAAAGACCGTGAGCTTCACCAGCACAATGACAGCACAGCGCCAGTCTCCGTGTTTTTCCATTCAGTGGCACAATGCTGTTATAACACTGAATCTCTACAGGAAACACCTTCATCACAGGCGATACTTACTGACAAGGTACAGATGGAGTTTCGGTACCGGGGGGATTGTCATATAACTAACCTTTATACACATTTTTTAATCATTAATACCAAAGAATATTGACTACAGCATTTATGACAGCTACTATGTGAGAAGGAAGACTAACACAGGACTGTGTCTTGGTCTGTGGACTGGGTATCTGTTTGGATGGTTACTGGTTCAAATCCCACAGCCAGTAATCTTATCATTGTTAGTCCCTTAACCCACACTGCTCCAGGGTTGCTGGGTGCTGGCAGACCCCGCACTCTGATCCGAAGCTTCCTTGACAACCACACTGGCCCAGGCCATAGGATATGAAAATAACATAGTAATAAGAGAGGTAAGGAGCTGATTACAGTGCATTGCCACACCCACCACACAACAAACCACTTCAGGGATGAGAACCTGAGTGCAGCCATGCGGTGGGTGATTCCTCAGCACCAAACTATTCCAAACAGACCAGTGTGAGTTTTTTTCCCAGTGACTGGGGTGCCAATCCTGCCACCAACCCCCGAGTTATTCCCTGTAAGTTGGAGGACCCCTTTATAGGGCTGGATGTAGATTAACATCATACCCAGGATGAAGCAATTGCAGGTTAAGGGCCCAACAGAGTAGAATCACTCCAGGCATTCACGGGATTTGAACAAGCAACCTTCCAGTTGCTGGTAAAGATCTGTAGCCACCACTCCACCTTTTAAGTAATAAGTAATATACAGTAGTAATAAGATAATAAGGTTTTTGTGTGAAAGGATCTCAAACCACAATAATTTGCCATTCTTAAAACCATTGTTTTAGTATTGGTGTTATACATCTAGAGAATATGAACCAGTGGGGTTCATCCCCAATCACGCGAGCAGCTTCTCTCTCCCAGGCTGCTAACACATTAAAACCAAGCTTGGCGTCAGATCCAGTGAAATACTGTTACCCTCACTTTGACTGGTGTTCTTGCCAGGTTGTGACAGGACCAAGAACTGAGTATACGGATATTTCCCTCCATCACACAGTATTCCTAACATACAGAGGCATTTGAATGTAATGAGTCCGAGGAGCTATTTTTTGTATCAGTGTTGGCTGTAGTTAGGCTTCCAGGAAACACAGGTCAGCTTTGTTGGCTCAGTTATGTGGATACAGGTATGAAATAGACAATGGTGTTTCTGCAATCTGACATCAACATTGTTTCGTCTATTTTTATTTTAGAAATCGAAAGCCTGCTCTGGTCCACATTGTTGTTGATTGTGTGTGCGTGTGTGTGTGTGTGGGTGGGTGGAGCTGGGAGCCTGCCTGCACTTGTTATGAAATAAAGAGTTTGGTATTTACCGATCACCAAACCAACCTCGCCGGAAAGCCCCATGCAGTCATAGCTGCTCTGCCTGTCAGTCTGGCGGCACGTTTGGCCACACCGTATCTCGCGGCGATACAGCAGCCCTGGGCTTGATCACCCCCTACTGGAGATCGACGGCATTGGGTGGCGGGGGGGCGGAGCATGGGACAGCCGCCATTTCAACACCAAAACGGCGCTTCCACAGCCTTCACAAAATGTCGGACTGTGAGTCAATGCTTACACCTGAGACTTTGATGATAAAGATGATTATTTTATATATATATATATTTATATTTATCAAGAATAATAAACTGGCAAACATGGTCATATGGGTCACCCAACTACCCAACAGTTGCATAGGAGTTAAGGGTTAAGCGTTCGTTTGTTTTGTTGTTTCATTTGTCTTGTGCCAATCCTCACACCCAGCTGTTGTCCTTCTGTGACCCAGCGTCCATTTTGTTCTGGACCTGCACTTAGCTTTCCCCGCCCTGACACCAAAATGGCCGTCTGTTGTTTTTTGTCCCTGCCCCCACCCCCCACACAAACTCGCTTTTGTTAATCCCCTTTCCCCAAATAAAGTCACTGTTCCTTCCACCCAATGTGCTGTGACATATGAGTTTATTTGTTATGTGATCTGGTGCAAGCCCTACAGGGACTAACATTTGATTTAAAATGAGAATTCGATATGCCCGAAAAAGTGCCCGCGTGTGGCACGGGTGAGGTGGAGCTTGTGTAACACTTACAGTTTAGCTGGCAGGGACTCAGCATCACGCTGGAAAGCCCCGGGTGCCAGTCTCCCTTACTTTCCCTTTCACTCTCCCCCTCCATACAGAAGCTGTGCCCTCTGAGTCTGTCTCTGAAGCTAAAATCCACATGTGCACATGCTCAGCTTCCTAACGCGGCGACTTTCCCTGCCTTAATTTGTGCTTCTGGACCAGGGTCGTGTCTCTCTGCAGTAAAGGGAAGGATTCAAAACACATACATGCACATATCACATTATAAAATTATAATAGTTTTGAATTATATATTCAAAGTTATTTCATGTGCGTGGCACTGGTGCCTCACACCTCCAGGATTGGTGGCTTGATTCCCACCTGTGTGGAGTTCGTAGTCGTGCATGTTTTGCCCGTGTTGTGACCATCCGGCATATCAGACATTTTCCCCATGGGGATGTGGGCCGGCAGAATGTATCGTGGGGACCCCCAGGGAGCCAAATTGTATCACTGGGCAAAACTTATCATGGGAGACCCCCCCCCCACTCCTCCAAGCTTGACAAAATTTAGGTGGGGGCCTAAGGGACCCCAAAGTGCAGCCCTGGTTGTGAGCGACCTGCCCCCCCCCCATCCTGTCCTGGGTGAGGCCCCGCCTTTGGCCAGTGCTCTCTGCGGCTCCAGGTCCCCTGTGATTTACACCATGATTTTATTGTTAGCATTAGTCATACGCTGATGCCTTTGTCCCCGGTGCAGGTCTGCATTCATCAAGCTCATTTGGGGAGAACTTAACTAATAGCTCAGAGTTGTTAAAATCTTATCTAGCTCTGATTTAAAGGAACCCAGGGTTTTAGCTTCCGCTACACTAGCAGGAAGACTATTCCATACTCTAACTACACGCTGTGTAAAGAAGTGCTTCCTCAAATTTGTTTTAAAATGTTCTCCCACTAATTTCCACTTATGCCCATGAGCTAGTATTTAGACTAATATTGAAATAGCCATTTGGCTGAACAGCATCCAGACCCGTTAGAATCTTATATACCTGGATCATGTCCCCCCTTAGTCTCCTTTGCTCAAGGATAAACAGATTCAGCTCAGCTAACCTCTCCTCATAAGACATTCCTCTAAGACCAGGAATCATTCTCGTAGTCCTCCGTTGCACCTTTTCTAAGGCAGCAATGTGCTTCTTGCAATGTGCTTTCCAAACCAGCACACAATATTCTAGGTGGGGTCTTACCAAGGAATTATATAAATGTAACATCACCTCCCTTGACTTAAACTCCACACACCTAGAGATATAACCCAACATTCTATTGGCCTTTTTTATTGCTTCCCCACACTGGCGAGAGTGGGACATGGAAGCATCAACATACATACCGAGATCTTTCTCATAATCAGCTACCTTTATTTCGGTGGAACCCATAAAATATTTGTACTTTAT